CAACTCAACAAGACCAACTCAACAAGGCCAACTCACCATGGCCAACTCACCATAGGCAACTCGCTATGGGAAAACTCACTGCAGGACAATTTTAACTATTCTATTTCATGATTTGCAATAAATAAAAATTATTTTAATTTTTTGCCGTTCCCATTTCATTCTGCCCCTCCTTTTGCATCCTTTCTTTAATGAGTCTATTCCGCCAATCTCTTTGATATTAGTGTAACTCTTGTCCCATGGCGAGCTGGCCGTGGCAAATGGTCGTAGACCCCAGGATGCCTCCTTGCCTTGCCCAGACCCACCTCTGAATAAAGCCACCGAGCGGGAGAAGGAGAGCAGGCCGAAGACCAGGACGGTGCCCAGCGCCAGCCAGTTGGAAGAGACGGTGTAATGCTCCAGACGGTACCGTTGGAAGACAAAGTGATAACATTTCTGGAGTGGGGTGGGGGGAAGAGAAAAACATGAGCGCTGGGGAATTCTGGGAGCTGAAGTCCATAAGTCTTAAAGCTGCCAAGTTAGGAGACCCTTGCTCAAAAGGAAGGCCGGGGTTGGGCTTCAAATAATTTAACAACCAGTTCTTTGCCCAATTGCTGAGCGGGCGTGGCCTAGTCGGCCTCCTGCATCACCCTGTTCGCCAAACTGGCCATAAAATTAACAACCGGTTCGCGTGAACCGGTGCAAACCGGTATAGCAGTCCACCCCTGAGTAAGGTCCACCGGGAGAAAAAACCCCCCCTTGCCCATCCCTCCTCTCTTGCCCCCTGCCCCACATTGCTCCTGCCCCCCAAAACGCACCTGGAGGGCCGAGAGCCCCACTGCTCCGCAGAGACAAATCAGGGGGTAGATGGGGTACAGAAACCTCTCCTCTTTGTGCGGCTGGATGAAGAAGATCAGGAACCAGATGTACATGGGAGAAAGTGTCAGCCAGTACGGGCGGCCCAGGTTTTGGACTGGAAGAAGGGACAGTGGCAGATCAGTAGCGGAAGGAAAGAGAAACCGGGGTGGTTGTTCTTGTTTTGGGCAGAGTTGTAAAACGTCAGTGTGTGTCGTCTTAACGCTTTGGTTGTTATTTTAATTTGTCTTTTTATAAGCTGTAAGCCGGCCGGGGTTGCCTTATAAAAATTGGACGAAATAAATAAGAAGAAGAAATAAATGGAGCAGGAGGGTTCTTGGGGTGGATGGGACAGCCTTTTTCCTGAACCGGGACGTTGGCGAAGGGTCTTCTGCGCTTGGGAGGCTCCGCTCTTTGGAGGCAGGGGCAGAGGGGCTGGCCGAGTCTGCCCAGGGACTCTTCCCCATAACCCAGGTGTTGAGGTCTAAGGGGCTCACCACGAAACTTCTGCAGGAGGGTCTCCATCAGGCAGGTCAAGGGCAAAGCCAGCAAGGCCAGGATGAAGGCCACGTTGAAGTTCAGGAAGCCGTTGATGAAGTAGAAGGACCAGGGCTCCGTGCCTGCAAGGAAGGAAAGGAGAAAGAAGTCAGGAGCTCCCTGGAGGCTCTAGCCCAGCCAGTGTTGTGGCCGCCAGTGGCCGGTGGAGCTGGCGGTAGATTCGGACAATGAGGAGGAACATAGGCCAGTCCTGGAGTCTGGGGAAGGCTCTGATGAGGGCTCTGTGTCAGAGGCAGAGATGGGGCCAGGGCCATCCGACAGTTATCAGCTGCCTTCAGAGTCAGATATCAGTGGGGAAGTAGAACAGCTGGAGCCTATTCCTGATGTGCACATGCGCAGAGCTGTCAGGAGAAGAGAACGCTTAAGGAATAAGGGTCGACTTGGGAGTAAAGGCACAGGTGGACGGTGAATGGCCCCTCCGATAGGGAATAAAGAGGAACGAAGGGGAATGGGGTTTGCAGGAGACAATTAGTTCGTTTAATTAGTGTGAAGATTTGTTTGTGCCCCTCAGAGACTCCTTGCCAAGTATCTTCTTGTACAGCGTTGCGCTTGGAAGCTATCGGCCTGGCAGCTCTCCAAGCCTGATAAGGACTGTGGTTGTAATCCACCCTTGAAAGATTGTTTGCTGGGACTTTGCTGGATGTGAATGAGAGGAATTCACATTAGCCTAAATAAAAGGGATTTTGTCGGGATGATAAGTCTGCTTTGTGATTTGGGGAAGCCCGAGTCAGAACAGCCAGGAGTCTGCATGTGTGTGATATGATCGCCTTTTGTAACCACAGCTGACTTCCAACATGCAAAGTTTTATTTCTATGGGGACATAAAATCCGGGGAGGGAGAAAGGAAGACCGTGTGACCACCCCACCACCGTCCCAAAACGCTTCCTCCTGCCCGCAGGTAGACTCACCGTAAAGGTCTGGCCCGTGTGGGGTGAAGACGTTATACAAGATGATGTTCAGAGGGGCTACCACCAGCTTCCCATAGTGGTAGCTATCGATGGCCACCATGGGCACCTTCGTGGAGAAACAAGCCACCCTTCAGAGCTTGGTCCTGCACTCTGGACCACATCATGCCAGCGTTTGGATTCCCCCAGTTTGGAAAATGCAGGATGGAACGGCTACTTTGCTTAGTGGGGGAAGGGCTGTCGTCCTCAAGGGCGAAGGGTGATGTAGAAGCCCGCCAGAAGCAAGGGTTGCCGCGCTGACCTTGGAAGACTCACCAGAAACACCAGTAGGGACACCAAGGACCACTGCAGGAAACTCTTCCACCGCCTCTTCAGGACCAGCAAGTCGAAGGCAATTGGGAGGCTGCCCAATGGAAGACCGAGGGATGTTATTAGTGAAGGTGCGGGAAAGTATTTTAGCTCAACGTAATACCTAATACTCCAATCAAGGAATTACCAGCTCAGTCAAATAGTAACCAACAGCCTAATCAAGGAAGCACCAAGGTGATTCCCACCAACACTGACAGAGCCAGCTACTAGTACATCAATAGAGCAAACCCCACTGCCTTCTAGCACTGATGATGTTACCTAGTTGGGTCGTGAAACGTCTGCAAGAAAACAACCAAGCTCAGAGAACAGCAAGAACTCCACAATCCCCCAACTTATTCTCCTCCTCCTCCTCCTCCTCCTCCTCTCCACAAATCCCACTCACTTCTAGTACTGATGAAGTTACCTAGTTGGGCCATGAAATGTCTGCAAGAAACCCACCAAGTTCAGAGAACACCAAGAACTCCACAATCCTCCAACTTCTTTCTCCTCCTCTCCACAAAGCCTCCTCCCTTCTACCACTGATGATGTTACCTAGTTGGGTCATGAAACGTCTGCAAGAAAACCAAACTCAGAGAACACCAAGGAGCCCACAATTCTCCTCCTCCTCCTCCTCTCTTTCTTCTCCTCCTCCTCCACTCTGCACACCCTTTTCTTTTCTAGCACTGCTGATATCACCTAGTTAGAAAGGTGGCGTTTGGGAAGCATCCTCCAATCCCAGTTCCCGAATGACCCTCTGGAGCCGAGTTTTTCAACCCTGGCAACTTTCAGATGGGTGGACTTTCATTTCCCAGAATTCCCCCGCCAGCACAGCTGAAGTGCACCCACCTTAAAGTCGCCACAGTTGAGAAACACGCCTCTGGATGCTACTGTTCACATCCTACCATCCTGAACACTTCCCGAACATCCCTCTTTCTGACTCCCTCTTACCCCAACGCTGCGCTGAACGGCCAACCCACAATGGCTCCGGCGGCCACACCCAGGACTGCCAAGGATGTTCGGTCCATGTACCAGCCTGTCATGGCTACGATGGTACAATACATGCAGAAGCTGCTGGGAAGGAAGGCTGCAAAGAAGAAGAGGCAGGATGTTAAGAGTGTCTGCAGCGTGACTACTATTGTGAGACCACCCAGGAGCAAAACCCAGCTCACACAGAGGCTCTGTCCTTTTAACAGTAGTTTATATACAAGACAGCTATATATATATATTCATATACACGATAGGCAAATACCTGGCAATCAATCAATCTTCTTTACTCTGCATGAAGAACCACAATGGAGACAGAACACAAGGGGAGACAGATACACCCTCTCATGACCTAACATCTATAGACAGCTTCTTAAAGTGGTAAAACCTTGTGGGACCCATCCTCAGTCTTAAAGCGGCAATAACCATGATGATTGATCCTCATTGCATCAGCCTTACAACAGCCGGTCAGCTCTTAAATCACTTAGAGACTACAGTGGTTTACTTAATGACGGTGGCAAACAAGCTGTAGAATTGGGTGCGGTCTTGTGATGCCTTGCTTAAGAACGGCGCTGCCTAACGATGAATTTTTCCAGTTAGGTGATTGTCAGTTGAAAACCGGATGTACTTAATCGAACCGCAAAATTGGTCCCTGCCCGGCTCCTTTCTTAACTTACCTGAGGCCGAGCAGAACATCCCGGTGCTAAGAATCAAGAAAGCCAGCATAAGCCTGCTCACATGAAGCCCAAACTTCTTGCACACTGCCCTGGGAAACAGAGGAGAGAAAAGGGAGCCTGTTTCGGGGGGCGCCAAGCATTTCGGGATGGCTCACCTAGCTGAGATCTCCCAGCCTTGGAAAAGGCAGGCCAGGTATTCTGCACCAGCAGCTTCCGGTTGTAGCTCAGGGACAGAACAACAGGTGTGCTGCTTGGGGAAGTGAAAACGGAGCGGAAGTGAAAACGGAGTGGAAGTGATCAAAGTACCCCAGTGATCTAAAACTATGCTAAGCTAGAACTAAGGGGCTGCCACAGAGAGGAGGGGGGTCGATCTATTTGCCAAAGCACCTGAAGGCAGGACAAGAAGAAATGGGCGCAAACTAACCAAGGAGAGAAGCAACCTAGAACTAAGGAGAAATTTCTTGACATACAACAATTCATCAATGGGACGATTTGCCTCCAAAAGCGGTGAATACTCCAACACTGGAAGTTTTTAAGAAGAGATTGGATAATGATTTGTCTGAAATGATATAGGGTTTCCTGCCTAAGCAGGGGGCTGGACTAGAAGACCTCCAAGGTCCCTTCCAACTCTGCTATTCTGTTAAATGAAATCTGCTTCTGAAGTTACTGGATTTCAGAACTACTCAAAACTAACTAACCTCAACCAGAACTTACTATCTTGAGCCTTTCACACCTCACTCCATTCCTAAGAGGTCTGTAAGGAGGCGTGCATAAGCGCACCAGCGTGCCTACCGTCTCTGTCCTACTGTCCCCATTTATTCATACTCATTTATTATGTCTATACTTATCCCTGTTTATACTTACATGTTTATATGTTATGTTCATGTTTTCTCATACATGCTTGACAAACTAAATAAATAAACAAAATAAACAAACAAACAAGAGGGTCCTGGCTGATACTCACTTATAAAAATAAAGCTCGCAAACGCAACTCAGGAAGGCCAAAAGGCAGCGCAGGAAGTAGAAGATGAGGACCTAGGAAGAACAGCTCCCGTTACAAAATTTCTACAGACAGTGGTTGTGTTCACAGAAAGTGCAGAATGATAAAGCTACCAGGTTGTTGTTGTTGTTGTTGTTTTTCAATGCGATCCAGTTTGCCATTCGGTATGTCCGTTAGATTGACTACATTATATTTTGATTAGACCTGGGTTGAGTAGGTCAGGGTGCAGAACTGCAGGCCTTGGGAGCTGCCTCCCTCCCATTATAAGAACTCTCCCGCCAGCCTGAGCATGGGGGAGTTGCCAACAAAGCCACAACTTCCCCCCAAGAAGCACAGAGCCCAGCACGACAACACACAGTGTTAAAAAAAGGGGGCAACAGCTCTACCTGCTGTCCAGGAACACAAAAGGAAGGAAGGAGCAACCTCAGAGAGAGGAGACTGAAGACACAGCGGGCTTAAGAAAGAAAAATTAAGGCACAGAGGTAGTGCTTGACTTACGACCAGTCACTTAGCAACCGTTCAAAATTACGATGGACATTGAAAAGGGATTTATGACCTGCATTTGGGGCAACTGACACGTGACTCCAATTCGTGTTACCTTGTTTGTTTGGAGAACTCTAGCATGGAAGAGGGCCGGCAGAGCATGGAGCCACAGGTACGCATAGGAGCGAATGGCATAAACAGGAGAATATTCCCACGTCTGGAATCCTTTGCCATAAACGAGGTAGTGCATCTATAAAAGCAACTCACAACAACAAAGATGTCCAATGTTTTGCTTTCTACAATGTATAGGCATACAAGGAAAATATGTCTATAGAGAGTCTCAATCATCCCGGTCAGGGATCCCCAAACTTGGCAACTTTAAGACTTGTTGACTTCAACTCCCAGAATTCTCCAGTCAGCTATGCTAGCCCTTGGGGGGGGGGGGGGTGTTCTGTTGTGTCTTCAGGTGGTTTCTACTGTACTGCCTTCAAATGGCTTCTAATGTACAGCATGATGTTGTCATAATGGTAATGGCTTCACAAGGAGGCTCTCTCTGATAAAGAGGAAAATCCAACATTAGAAACTACGTTTGTTCCGGGTTGCCGAAATCAGGGCTTTTCCTGTCTAATACAGGATTAGGATTAAATAAATACCGGGGCTACGCCAGGTTATCGGCTAGTATATGAATAAAAAACTTGACTTATGGGAGGCATTTGGTGCCCTGATGATTGCCCTAAGAAGCTAATCTCGACAGGATCTGCGACCTGGTTTCAAAGGGTTCGGCTGAGAGCGAGTCAAGACCTTTAAATCCAGCAAGTGATTAAAAGAGGCTGATGAAACCTTCGCTCTCCTGCAAGCTAATAAGAGGTGTTATTACCGCAGGCAAGGACGATTTACTCACAGGCTCCCAGTAGTTGAAGGTTTCATCGCAGTCAGAGATGTTACTCAGCAAAGCTGCACAGAACCTGGCTGAGATTAGACACTTGAAAGCCGTTGATCCTTCAGGAGCCCAGACGTGGCCTGCTTTGGTTCCTGAGGACCTGACAGAAAAGCAAAGTGGCTGTTATTAACCCTGTAAATTAAGGAAGACGGAAAGCAAGGGGAGAAATGATGGAGAGGAAGAAAACGGTGCTGCTTGGACAGCTATCCTGGCTTTCGGACACAACGGAGTATCCAGAAAGGCTGATGGGAGAGAATCTAGAGGGCCAAATTGGGGCATTAAAGGCGTATAAGGCCAATCATGGGATGAAAATGCTCCCTTGGACCCGAACCTCACTCATTCTTTGCTTCAATGCTACTGAGAGCTTATTTTAAATCACGGCTCTTCAAACTTGGCAATTTGTGGACTTCAACTCCCAGAATCCCCCAGCCAGCATGTCAGGTAGTCTATGAAACTTGGGATTTCTGGCTGGGGAATCCTGGGAGTTGAAGTCCACAAAGTCTTAAAAGGTGCTGAGTTTGGAGATCCCCTGTTTCAAATCAATCCAATACTACCTGCATCAAGGTTTAAAACTGGCCTGTTCTAAAAAAGACCAAACCCTCCCCGTGTAGGAGAACCTGGTTAAAGGGGGGGGGGGTGTATGTATATGTGTATGTATGTATACATATATATACACATACATATAAATATACACGTGTGTATATGTGTGTGTATGTATATATGTATGTATGTATATATGTGTGTGTGTGTATATGTATGTATGTATATGTGCGTGTGTGTGTGAGATAGATAGATAGATAGATAGATAGATAGATAGATAGATAGATAGA